CAAAATACATCAGTGGATTATGAGCTTTATGAGTTTTATAGCAATAACAAGTTGATTAATTGCAACTTTTTCTTTTACTTCAGTTAATGACATTGATATTATGAAAAGCATATCTTCAATAAAAAGTAATTCTACGGATATAGATGGATTAAATATTGGTTTAATTAAGTTATCATGTCCTCATATTCTTTTATATTTGACTCATATTGTAAATTTTTGTATAAGTAAGAATGTCTTTCCAGATGCGTGGAAGATTGCTCTGGTTAAACCATTATCAAAAATTAAGAACCCTATTGATTTTATGCATTTAAGACCTATAAGCATCCTTCCTGTACATACTATCGCAGGTAACTGAAAAAATTCTAGCTTTTCAACTGCGTAACTTTATAGACAAAAACAATATCTTGCCAGAAATGCAGTCTAGATTTAGACCTGGCTTCAGCTGTACCACCGCATTAATTTCCATTATAGATTATGTGGTGTCTGAAATAAACAAGGGAAATGCCACAGTTTTGTGTCTTGTACATTTTTTAAAGCATTTGACACAATCAACCATAACCTACTATGTTCTATTTTGCAATTTGTTGGTCTGGATGATGGGTAGTTGAATTGCTACTGAGTTATTTAAAAAATCGTTGACAATCAGTTATTGTTGGTGACAGTATCTCGGGTGCGTTGAGTTTATCGTCGGGTGTACCACAAGGATCCATTTTTGGGCCTCTTTTGTGTACTGTGTATACGTGTCATTTTAAAACCTTCATAAAATATTGTAGATCGCATTTTTACGCTGATGACACTCAACTGTACCTCTTCTTTCCGCCGTCTGATATGACAGCTGCCTGCGAACGCATTAACTCTGACCTACAGAGTACTCCTGAACCCGTCAAAAACCGAATTAATCCTTTTTGCGCCTAAAAGATGGAGACAGACTCTCTTATCCAAACTTAATATTTTTGTAAACAACACAAGTGTTGCATAATAATACTGTAAAAAGTCTGGGACTATTAATTGATGACGCACTGAAATTTAATGATCACGTTAATAAATGTACTCAATTAGCGTACTGTAACTTAAAACACATTTACAACTGTCGAAATTTTTTAAATAGAAAGCTAAAGGCTATGCTCTGTGAATCACTTGTTTTATCGCATGTCAATTATTGCGATGTGATATATTCTACTTTCATCTCATATCTCGCAAAGAGTAAGATACAAAAGGTACAAAATTCGTGTTTACGACTAATTTATGGTATTGAACGTCGGCAGCATGTTAGTGATCGATTGGTCGATGTAAACTGGTTGAATATGCAGAACCGAAGAATTTTGCATTCAGCCTGTTTGTATTATAAAGTGATAAATTATCAACAGTCCCCTTACCTTTATAACAGGATTCGATTTCGAGCCGATGTCCATACATTGAATATAAAATTTAGAGATACACTGACTCCTCCAGTACACAACCTTCAATTTTTTTTAAAATGCTTTAATTACCAGATTACTAAAATATTCAATAATATTTCATTGGACATCAGAAAATCATTGTCTCAGAACTCAATTAAACGGAAATACTTTGCATTGTTATTTGATGCAGATTGAGAGCTCTCTGTTTTGTTCTTGTCTTTGTTTTTAACTGCGTTGTTGTCATTCTTACGGATTATTATTATTTATTTATTAACTATTTTTGATGTGCACGCTTCAGTTAATTCTAGTTTGTAAAGTCGTTTATTAATTTGCTTTTGTTTTGATTTACTTTTGTTTCCCATAATAAAAATTTTTTTTCTCTCATGGTTAAGTTGAAAAGCGGTTTAACACAGAACTTCGCCTTTTTTTCACTTTTGTATTTTTGATTCTTTATTTTTAAGTTTACAAGCATTGTTTTTATTGTGTATTACTAGTGAAAAAAAAATAAAGTCATTTATTATTATTATTATTATACAGTGTGTCCGTAAAGTAACGAATAAAGGGGATAAAATCATAATAAACGGTTTATGGAAAAATCCCTGAAACGGGTCTAAAGATTTAAACTTTTTGCAATTTTTTAGTGTATATCTCAATTTTTTTCCGCCTTTTTTAAACGAGTTATGGCGTCATCGATATTTTTTTTAAATGGCAATCCCATTTTTATTGCGGAATATGAAAGAGATTTTTTTTCTGAATTCAGTACAGTCAATATTAATATTGGTTACATAAGAAAATTTTCGAAAAAAATTACTTTAAATTTTAACTATTTAAATTTGCTTAACATGATAAAAATAGCAGTAGCCGTGAGTAACTATGGTAACCAATTATTCTAAACAATTTCCTGAGTGTCAAAAACTGATTTAGTAAAGCTTTTTGAAGTGTGGTGGCGCATCATCTTGTTGGAATAACCGCCGCGCCGTTGGAATTGAGTTGTGTCAACATTATCGGGATGGAAGGAATGACATCGCTTTGAAAAAATTTAAACATTTCTTTCCACTTAAGGTTTCCTCAAATTTTTTGTGGACATTTGGTGTGCGACTTTCTTGGCTAATTTGAATTTTGGGTAGCGCAATACCGACAACTTTGTCTATTTACTTGTCCACTCAATGTAAATGTCCCTTCGTCGAAAAAATTTGGTTTTTGACAAAGTCTTCGTCATCGTTGCAAAATTGTTGTTGCACAAACTACGATTCATTGCTCGTGAATGAGGTTTACTTTATGGGAATGATATTTTGCTGGTTTTAAAATTTTATGAACCGTTGATTTACTAATGTCGAAATTAGACCCAATACTCCTTACAGTAACATGAGGGTTTTCTTGCCCAGCCAAAACCACGATTTGTTGAACTTCCCTTGCAACATTTAGTAGGCCAGATTTCGAGAATTGCTTCGAGAGATGGCCATGATTTTAAATTTAGTCACAGTTAGGCTCACCATACTTTGGTTAATGATTTGGCGATCAGAATATTTTGTATTAAAGAGGTCAACTACTTACTAAATCAGTTTTTGACACTTAGGAAATTGTTTAAAATAATTGGTTACCATAGTTACTCATGGCTACTGCTATTTTTATCATGTCAACAAATCTGAAGTAGTTAATCTTTAAAGTAATTTTTCTCGAAAATTTTCTTATGTAAGCAATATTAATATTGACTGTATTAGATTCAGAAAAAAAATCTTCTTTCATATTCCGTAATAAAAATGGGGGATAGCCATTTGAAAAAAATTTAAACTTAAAAATGGCGGAAGAAATTTAAAATCTACACCAAACAATTGCAAAAAAATTAAATCTTTAGACCCGTTTCAGGGATTTTTCCATAAACCTTTTATAATGATTTTATAGCCTATATCCGTTACATTACGGACACACTGCATAACTCTGGGCCAAATGACCGATATCACCATAGTTATCGATCTACAGCGCGATATTGGTTCGATATCTACATACATTTTCGTAGGAGAAACCGGCCATGAAAATTTTGGCAGACAAATGCAAATATTACGTTTTTACATTAATTTTAATCACGCTAAAATCCCAATTCAAAGCACCATTGTCTTTAAATATTATATATATTTAAAGACAATGTTATTACTAAGTTTGTCATTACTAAGTCGTTGAATGCAACGAGCGGTATAGGTGACCATCTTTTTGCTGTATATAAGAACATATAACACTATTCCCTTTTCACTAAGCTGTCAGCGAAATAAGTCTGTCCGAGAAGCATAAATGAGCCAGATGATATTTATGATAAAATGTATAACCTAAATTCACTTATTTAATGACTGTAAAATTTGTTTATTAGAAATTTTAAACAATGTTAAATTATTTTTAAAATATTTACATGTGATGATTGGCCCTTTAGTTACCAAAGGACAATGGTATGCAATACGGGAATTGTGAGTTAAATTTCAAAATGTTTTTCATAAATTTCCATTCTTTCAACTCTAAAAGCATTTTTTCTCCCTTTTCATCGCTTTTCCGATTTTATAATTTGTGCCGCATTTTGTTTACCATTCGAATAATATTGTTAAATTGAACAAACGAATGTTTTATTACAAAAGCTTAGTGTTGTTTAGTCGAATGGATTTACGTTTCCAATGAGACGTAACGTTGGAAACAAGGAGGGAGACGTGCAGGCGTCTCTTTTGGTATCGCAAGCACATTGTACATTGTTCGTCCCGCTATTTCGACGACGGTATGCGAAGGGGGCACTATTTAATTTCGTGCACGCGTTCGGCAATAGAACAATGATAGGGCTGGGGAGCCACGGCGCTCCGTTGGAAAGGGCGAATAAAACGTACTCCCTTCCAGGTCGAATATCGCCAGTTTTATTCGACCTTCGGCCAATACCGAGAGGGAGAGTTTTACGAGACAGTGAATTATTGCCCCAAGTTGTGCCCACGATCGAATTTCAATTTAAATTTTTACAAATTGTTTAGGAGTTTTCCTTATTACTAATCAAAAAATTTTTTTGGAAATAAAAAAGTTCATTTTACTTCAAACCTTTCAAGAAATGTTATGTGGAAATCGTCAAATATTTACTTAGCGAAAGGAACAAAGTTCACGTCGACATCGTCGTCAACGTAGAGACGGAAAGACAAACAGGAGCACTTTAGATATTGCGACGTTTGTCAGTTTGTCTCTCTTCCATCTCCGGAATTAGCTTCACTTCCTAAATTCCACGAAGCGGAAATAAAAGAGTGGAATCAAATTAGTTTTCAATTTTCAATCTCTGCTATGTGGGAAACATAATTTAGGAAAGATCTCGTCGTATTGTTTGCGGTCCCTTGACGTGGCACTTATCAAAATAGGGTCCACGTGTCGTTTTTCGGGTTTGTTCAGAATTCTGTCAACGCGTTCGCTTCGACCCTTAAAGCAAATAAACCTTTTTGCTCCTGGCTGCAATAACGGCATTCGTCTTTATGTTTATTACGTTTTCCACAAACGAAACGGTTGCCTATTTCACCTTTTATTACAACATTTCTATTTTCCCACCAAACATTCAAACTATTATTTGTGCAAAGCTAACAGAAAATTTTATTTCAGAATATACATCAAAAAATGTCTTAGTTGCTCTGAAAGAATATCACCCGAGGAACTTGTAATGAGAGCATGTAACTACGTTTTTCATTTAAGATGTTTTGTTTGTGTCGTTTGCGGAATTCGTCTCCAAAAAGGTGATTTATACATCATTAAACAAGGACAACTATTTTGTCAAGTCGATTATGAGAAAGAAGTTGAAATGCTTCAAGTTTATGGTCAAGGTTAAAACAATATCAAAATCATCAAAAAAAATTTAATGATCAATTTTTTTTAAAACAGGCGATTTTCTTTATGACGATTTATTACAATCTGGACGACCACAAGACGGTAGAAGAGGTCCTAAAAGACCGCGTACGATATTGACAACTCAACAAAGGAGAGCTTTCAAAGCTTCGTTCGAAATCAGTCCGAAACCGTGCAGAAAAGTTCGTGAAGCTTTGGCAAAGGATACTGGTTTGAGTGTTCGAATAGTACAGGTAAAGCGTATGCAGAAGTTGAAAGGATGGCATTTGAAAGGGTGGTAATCGTATTAATTCCGGTAGGTTTGGTTTCAAAACCAACGCGCGAAAATGAAAAAGATGCAGAAAAAAGCTCGACAGGACAATAAAGATACGAAAGATGGCGAGGATGAAAAGAAATTTAGTGTGAAAGAAGAAGAACAAAGTAAGTGGAAAATACGATCTTAATTATTTTTTAGTTTCGTTGTTAATTTTTATTTTTAGGTCCCGGAACACCGTTTTTTAATGAAAGTAGTGATAACGAAGCTGGTGATTTAGATCATATGCATCATAGTGATTTGGATAAAAAAACTTTCTTTCACATCAAAGAAGAAATCGATAACGAAGAAAATTTCTTAAAATATCAAACGAACGTTTTTAATTCCTATACCGGTAATAATTTTGTTAAATAATTTTTATTAATTACTATTTTTTAATGACAGATTTCAGCCATAAAAAAGAACCGAATGTGATGTGCATACCGTTACAATCGATAGAAGCCGCTCGTTCGAGATCATTTATGCTCCCATCTTTAGGAAACGCAAATCCTGGATTGAATCCAATCGATCGACTCTATTCGATGCAAAATTCCTATTTTTGTAGCGAAGATTTACCAACGATGGAACACTGAGGATATTGTGCCAATTCTGTACAGAAGAAATAAAACAAATTAATTATAAAAAAGAACTACTATTATTAACCATTTTCTTATGAAATTTATCTTCTATATTCTGATATAACGTATCTCACTATTAAATTGAACTATTTCTTCTAAACGTGTATGTGTCTGCATGTAAATAAAATGTATGTTTAACTATTACTTAAGGAAATATGTTATTTATTGTGTATTTATTGATATTAATTAATATATAGTATTAAAAAAATCATCTTTTTCTAAGACATCAAATCAAAATAAAATGTTTTAAATAAAAATGTTGAGTAATAAAGGTAATAACAATCATGACAAAATATGTTTTTTGCCACAAATTGTATCAAACTGAATCATTATAGATTTTTTTTCCCAATTGTTATTTTAAAGATAAACTTCAATAAAGAAATGTTTTGTATTCAAAACATAATAAAATGAAGAATACTGAAACAACAAAGGCGAAGGTGTTTGCAGGTAACTGGTCATACAGGTAATTAAATGTCAAATCAATTTGGCCAGACAAGAAATTATGAGTAATCCTAGACAATCGAATGAGCGATGAAACGGGAGCAAAAATGCTTTTAGGGTTGAAAGAATGGAAATTTATGAAAAACTTTTACACAAAGCTAGACTATCTTTGTGGACTTCTCGTAATCTTTGTGGAAGAAATTGGAGTCTTACCCCTGAAAGACTGTACTGGCTCTATGTGACTGTGGTTAGACGTATGATCACATACGGAGCAGCAGCTTGGTATAGGAAAGTATGACAGACTTCAGTTATTATATTAGTAAACTTTCACGAATTCAAGGAGTAGCTGGATTGGCAATCTCTTAGCCTATCTCCTTTGCAACCATTTACAAATTTAAGCACAAAACTGCTCCGACATGTCCAATAGGTTGCGGAAGACATTATAAGCACTGATATTGTGTTATCAATGCCGTCAAATTTGGTAGGATCTGTATCAGTGATTAATGCTCGATACCAGATTGTACTGCCCAAACGGCAGTCCTGAATCGAAAACGAAAACTCTCTGGTTCAGGCAGATATTTGCATGTTCACAAATGGATCAAAAACGCCGGAAGGGGTCGGGGCAGGAGTATAGTGCCAAACACCTCGAATTAAGATAGCTTATAACCTGGGTACGTACTGTACTGTGTTCCAGGCGGAAGTATTTGCTATTGATAAGGGTGCTAAAATCCTTCATGAGAGAGGGTTGAAGAACATGACGGTACAGGGTGTTTGATTTTTCTCAGACCGTCAAGCCGCGCTCTGGGCGCTGCAGGCGGTGAAACCGGTGTCGGCTCTGGTTAATGATTGTAAAAGAACTTTGAACACACTGAGTTGTCACAACAGAATTTCTTTTATCTGGGTCCCAGGTCACTTGGGGTTGCTGTCCATGAAGCGGCAGATGAGCTGGCACGTGAAGCCAGCGCTAAACATTATTAAAGCGTTTGTGGGGCCAGAACCAGCAGTTGGTGTATCATTTGCGATGGCAAAACATAGGATTGGACTGTGGGCTGAAGAGAGACTTCGCCTGCTATGAACCAGATGTTTATTAACATTGTCGCTGTCAAACCCGGGAATATTTTAGGACATACTCGTAGCAGCATTAAAGTTGTAATGAGTGTCTTCACTGGGCACTGCCGATTAAAGACACACCTCAACTTGTTGAGTCTTGCCGACTATGTGCAGAGAACGAGGAGACGGTTGAGCATGTTTTATGCCACTACCCTGCTGTTAATCGTATCAGATTCTCGATTTCGGGTCGCAGTTTATCTCCCCACAGGATCTGAATTCACCGAGCAAGGTGTTAATGTTCGTTAAGAGTTTTCTATTTGGGCATTACACGAAATTCGCCACAATCCTGACTTTTTCCATAACGTTTTGTTTGGCGATGAAGCGCATTCCAATCAATAAATTTGCTATCACCACAACCGTTTTTATTGGCACTACGAGAATCTTCATAGGTATTGTTCGCCAGTGGAATTAATAAAGATGTTGGTCCATAATTTCTGTCAATAATACTGATAAGCCACAAAGTAACACCTTGTTAAATACTGTTTTTTAATATATCAGCACCTCAGAGATAAGGTGTGTTAAGCCACTAACTCGAAATTGTTAAGGAGAGAGATTTAAAAGTGGACTTAATGCTGAAGATAACTCATTTCGCAAAAAAATGTTACTTAACACACCTGACCTCTGATTGTTAAGGAGAGAGATTTGAAAGAGGACGTAATGTTTAAACAAATACACATGGTGAAGATAACTCATTTCACAAAAAAGTGACTTAACACATCTTACCTCTGAGGTGCTGATATGGATTGGACGAGGTAGAGCAAAATTGTGGCTGTTCACTTTCTTGATATAACTCCAATACATACTTTTCCGTGGGAATATTTAAAAGAAGTGGTAGATTTTACTGTGTCTGTTGATGTAAATGACGTTATTGTCCGGATACACGAAACAATTGCAGAAATAAATGGTGATCGTTTCAATTCTGATTACTAAGTATGAGTTAGGTGAATAAATTAGTCTAAGTTTTGAAGGGATTTCTTTATTTCCTTGCTAACATCTATGTGATCATAATCTATAAGTTCTTTTAAAGTTAAACGTGTTGACATAAAACGGACATTCTCGTCTTCATCTTCTGTTAGTGTTTAACCAAAGTGCTAAGGTGGCCGAACGGTTCAGAATTGGTTTATAAATACGATAATAAATTGGTTTACAAAAAATTAGGTTCGGTTCGTTTCCAATGTCCATTTTAGTTAGATGAGGAGCGCTTTTTGACAAAGATTCTCACCAAACCACAAGGTAATTGGAACAAAAATGCAATGTAGGTACCATCGAAAATCACCTTCAATCAGTGAAAAGCATGGTAGTGAAAGCAAGGGCGTTGGAAGGGGCATTAATTAAATAAAACATATTTTTATATTAAATAAAGTAAAGTAAAGAGTTATTACTAATTAGCTAAAGTTTAATCTATGACTCCATAGCGTAAAGCGTTAAAGTTTCACGTAATCCCCGGACAGGAATAAAGTCGTTCGAGATCGCATCAGTTGTAAATTTTTGTTTTACGAGAATTCGGAATCTTATGGTTCAGCTTCATCTCTTCAAATTTTTAAAATTATATTTTATTATTATAGTAGAGGTGTGTTAGTGTCATTGATGCAATGGATATACTCTAGGAAATTACTCTAGAGATCAAGGATAGAGACGATTGATGAAAATCCAAATTACTCAATGAAAAAATCCAAATAGGCAAATTTTCTCTTAACCCAGTAATTAACATTGGTGGCTAGGTTTAAAATCATACCGTTGGTAGCATGGAGACGTTTTCTGCCATACCAGGAAACTCAATCGGATGAATCGGCGATTTTCATTTGAAATTCCAGTTATTCTTGCTATTGTTGTTCGTAAATTGATTGTAACTGTCTTCATTAAAGTCACAGGTCAGTTCTTTCAGGTATAAACGACATTTTCTGACAAGACTATTGTTATTTGCTTTGTGAGTTATGTAACTCTTCACGCTGCCAATATTTAGCACCGAAAAGAAACTACCACAACTAACCCCGAAACTGAAGTTGAAGTTTTCGTTTTATCGACGACATGAACTACCACTTTTGTAAGATTGTAAAATGGAATCATCTCAGGTTTGAATTCTTCTCCTGTGTCTGATATCTAATGTATCCTCGTCATGCATGGTTGACAACATGAGCATGGCATTCTTCTCTTTTTTTGCACATAGGAAACCAGAACACATTCTTGGACTTTTTTTATATTTAGAAGATCGTGTGGAATTTCTCGTGAATCTATGATTTACTAGAAGTTCTTTAGTCAAAGGCATAGAATTGAAATAGTTATTCCCTGAAACCTTCTAGTATCTCATCGCTTGTGGTATATTCGCCGATGTGGTAACTTGCTTTATAAAGATCAACAAATTCGTCGATTTGTTTTCTTATTGAGGTTAAATTGTCAACTTATTTACGTTGATTTCTGGTAGCAACGTCATCAAACCTCGTTGCAGATAATAATGTGTAAAAAACCTTCTGATTGATATTGTGGTCTTCAACTGACATTAACGGTTCACAATTCTGCAATATTCATGATGATTTGCCCTCATTTCGTCAACGGAATTGTCCAGACAATCTTTCACGACCAAACCGTTCGCCCGTCCTCTCCAAATATACGTAGGTAAAATTGATAATCTCTTCATTTGCATCATTTGGGAAGAATACTTGCCAACACTCCATCGCGAGTCCTCGCATTTCTAGTAAAAGATTTCACACCTGAGAGATGTGTTACAAAATTATGCTTCCTAATCTAATCTGCTCTAGAAGAGACATGCCTGAACCACTGCGTTATAAGTCATTTTCACTTTCAAAATTAGAATTGTGAGATGGTTCTGATCTTATATTATAGGCATTATGTTCACTTTGAGCGTCACTTTCTACATCGTCCGGCAGAAGTCTCACACAGAACGCACTCTTACAACAAATAGTATTTCACAACTAAACAAAACAACGCGTTACTGAAATAACACCAGTGAATGGTAGAATCTAACATAGCGACCAATGCCGCGTTAAAGAAGCCACCGGTATTACGGAAAAGTCTTTTTGGTCTGGCGCTATAGCAGTTTAAACTTCCATATATATGCAGTCGCAATCAATTACAATAAGTAATGAGTTTGATTTTTAGTTTTATGTACATAAGTAATATCAAATTGAAGTAAATGTATGTGTAATAATTTTAAAGTAGCCAAGAACTTTATGCATATCTTATATTCTTTTTTTATATACTTTTAGCCTTCATTCAAAAGGGAAACTTTGAACGCTTTCGTTGTTTCAACCTTCAGAAAATTTAAAAATATGCATGAATGCGCTAAAAAATACTGGGTGATATAACGACCGTTATGGCGGTAACTTTTAAATCTTTAAAAAAGTGATCATGTATAGCAAATTTTGTTATCTAGTGATTGGCTGAATATGCGACAAAGAGTTGTGGTTCATCAGTTTTCTTTCATCTACGATCTTATTACTTCCCGCAAGCCATCTTATCTCAGTCGTAAAGTTACGATCAGAACAGATGTTCATAACTTGAATCTCCAGCACAGCTTTTCTTTAATCATTTCTTCTCATAGATCTTCAAAATTCAAGAGGTTATTTTCGTACCA